ATGACAGCAGGTCATCTTTAGTCATTCTGCGTACATCTTTAACAGTTCAAAGACATATTGATACCATCCTGCGGCCAGTTGCTACCAGGCCACATATCGCTCGCATATCTCCGGACTGTCTCTGTGCGCTTGATACTCTTCCTTGGCTAGCAAGATCACTAGACCTTTCACCAATTGAGCATGTCTGGGGCATGGTAGGCCGCCAGATTCGTGCACCACAAAATATCGCAGATCTGGAGCAATAACAGAATGAATGCCTGGCAGAATGTGTCACAGGATGACATTAGGAACCTCTACTACTCCTTGCCTCGACGAATTCAAGCATGCATTGCCTCCAGGGGCGGTTCATTGGTTTGAACACTCAATGGGTGATTGTGAGCCGTGAACAGGTACTTTGACCTTGATTTTGTAATTATTTTATTATCTGTGTATGAGCTATACACATATTCATTTTCATCAAAAACAATTACTTTCTTCATGGTGCTTCTAGTTTTTTGCAAAAGAGTGTAATTTGAATAAAATACATATAATGATTTTAATGACACCAGATAACGTAATTTCACGGCTCTAGATAGAAATTAATAATAACTGAAAATAATCTGTGTTTGTATCTTTTATATTGCTTAATTTATTGATGAATAACAGAATAAATTTGAAAGCTAAGTTAAATAAGCTTTGCTGGATAACAACACACAGTCACGGAGAAGATAAAAACAATTTAATTAGAGAAGTGGTAATATATTTCTTTCAAATAGTTGAATCTGTTGATTGAATTTTAGAAACAAATATATTGTATTTTCGCGAGTGGCAAGATCAGCTTTTAAATTGCTGAGTTCTAAAATTCACCCGAAATATGCAATAGTAATAATAATAATAATAATAATAATAATTCGAAATTAAAAATTCGAACTTCAAGCTGCACACGTGCGCGAAGAAGACTGTCCGGAGTGTTCAAAATTTAGTGGTTGTATTTGCCACATTCCTCCACAATGCGATTAAGGTCGAAAGATAAATACTCTACGGTGCATTTTGCCGAGTGGCAACACTTATATTTTGTATCACCGAGTTTTCTGATTAAATTTGAAGTAGAAATATTAACTCTTAGAGAGAGAGAGAGAGAGAGGGGAAAAAATACGACGCACCAAGAAGGAGTTTTCCGAATGGGACGAAAATCGGTAGAAGTGATGTACATGTGCAGAAAAACAAATGATAACAGTCTGAGAAAAATTGTTTGATTTATTGAAGTGATAAAGCTTCCTTATGCAAGCAGTTATTCGGCTTGGCATACATTGATAGAGGTTGCGGATGTCCTCGTGAGAGATATCGTGCCAAATTCTGTCCAACTGGCGCGTTAGATCGTCAACATCCCGAGCTGGTTGAAGGGCCCTGCCCACAATGCTCCAAACGTGCTCAATAAGAGAGAGACCCGGCGACCTTGCTGGCCAAGGTAATGTTCGACAAGCAGTAGAAACATGTGCAGTGTGGGTGCGGGCATTATCTTGCTGAAATGTAAGACCAGGGTGTCGTGACATGAAGGGCAACACAACCGGCCTTAGAACTTCGTCGACGTACCGCTGTGCTGTAAGGTTGCGACGGAGGACAACCAAAGGGGTCCTACTATGAAATGAAACGGCACCCTAGACCATCACTCCTAGTGTCGGCCTGTCTGCCGGAAGACAGTCAGGTTGGTATCACACCACTGTCCAGGGCGTCTCCAGACTCGCCTTCGCTGGTCATCGGGGCTCAGTTCAAAGCGGGACTCATCACTGAAGACTATTCTACCCCAGTCAGTGACATTCCAGTGCGAATGAGCCCGACGTATAAAAGTGTATATTATGCTTAAAGCTAATCAAAATTCAGGACTTGTCCCGCACGACTTCAGACATTTACTTATTACTTTATTTATTTTGCTCAAAGAAAGTTCTAATACCTGGTTGTATCGAACGTTTTCTGCCAAAAAACGTTCTTAATAAAGTCAGAGGGAGGAAAAAAACATGAAAGCACTACTTTAAATGCGAGTAGTAAGAGAAGTAATCACCACCCAAATCTATGATTTTCTGCCAATGTTTTGGTAGTTTTTCAAAGCCTTCGACACAGAGACTTGGCGCCCGCGAATCCAAAAATAGACCAACCTCATTTCGGACGTCTTGTGAAAAATAGAAGATAGTACCAGCAAGATGTAGCTGCAGGTGTGAAAAAAAAGGTAGAGTCCAAAGGAGCAATGTCAGGGCTATATAGTGGATGTGGCAAAAGATCCTATTCGACTCCTTAAAGAAGATCATCAGGATCAGTTAGCCCGTGAATGCAAACACATGTGGTCTTGCATTAAATAATGAAACATTAACTTTTTGCACCGGAAACTCATTTTGACGTTTTTCCTTGATAACAGCGTCAACAAGAGCTAGTATCTCGCTGTACATCATACTGTCTAGGGTTTTCAGTGTTCGAAAGCAAGTCTTTCTTTCAAATACTAAAAATCGTTTTAAACATGACAACGCGAACTGTTTGCGCAGACGATATTTGCGGTGGCGGAAAATTTTCCTTAAAACCCAGTAATTCTATTTATAGTTTGTGACAGATGCCAGGTCACTCCGAAATTTTTGGGATACATATAGGTTTTTAAAGTTATACTTAAAAAAATTTAGGATTGTTCAAATTAGTCTCCTCCAGCATCAGTGCACTTATGTAGGCAAATTTTTCAAAGATTAAATGCCTCAAGCCATTCATTTCTTGGAATCGATGAAAAAAATCTGATGTGTACACTACATGACTTCCTTGTATGGAATATTAAATTATATGCATTTTTTCTTGCATTTCATTTAAACTTATTGGATTGAATTAAATCTACTTCGCCGACAGCGCATAAACCAAGAATAAATGCATTCTTTAACATTCACTCTATTTGTTTACCATAGCGACACTCTGATGCTAGGCTCACTTAACAGTATTATATTTCGTTCATATTATAACTCAGAATACACAAAATTTATATCATTTAAATTATCTAATCGTTGCCACATGTTCTATTCAAATACTGTAATAAAGCTAGGACGATGTATAAAAGAAATTAAGAAAACAGAACAAAAAAAGAAAATGTTTTTCACAGACGATTGAGTATTTCGCATTCAATTAATTCAATTCTTTAAAAATCAGTTAATTCAGTTAAATCTTAAACACTTATTTTCTCGAAAAAATTCCAGAAAGGATTAAGCATGATTTAATTCGCAATAATAAATGAATGCGTTATCTTTGTTGTGCCGAAGCTAAGTTTCTCTAGATATGCAACAGATCCACTATTCTGCTGTTTCAAATGTAAACAAGCAATGGACGCCATCAAAAACATTATTAGGCTTAGCGGCACTTAAACAACTTTAAAATTGTTGCTAATTCTAAAAATATCGTATACAGATTTACTAAAGGCATAAAAGTCATAACCGGAAGATAAGAACAACATAATTCAATCATTTTTAAAGCAAAAATGCACAATTTACAAACATTAAAGAAACTGAGATCACTGAGCTGGTTAACAGAGTGGATATATATATAAATATATTTATATACGTTAGGTGCAGCCGATTGCAACCAAAATACGAGGTGCACATCTACATGTTATAGCAGTCTTACATACAAAATTTTAACTTTCTGAGGCTACTCGTTTTTGAGTTATGCGAGATACGTACGTACGTACATACGTTCGTACAGACGCCACGAAAATTTCTCTTCAGAATTAATTTTAAAGCAGTTTTTGGAGGAAAAGAGTCTTTTATTCTGTCCTTACGTACAGATATCATGCAAAAACATCGTTAAATTGCATTCGATAGCGGTCAAATTGGATATTTTTGTTGAAATATTATGCCTGAAACTTTTCGCGATTACAATAATTCGCGTACAAAGAAGTAAAAATGCATTTCTAACCACATCAATCTTAGTTTCGGAAAGAAAACGACTTCCACGTAAGCTCTTTTTTAGATAAAAAAATAACCGAAAGTCAAATATCTAGATCGAATGAATAGGGTCCATGTTCTATCACTTTGAAGTGCTTTTATTTAAGAAACTCAACTGTCAATCTTGCTGAACGAGAAGATGCCTTGAAGCAGTAGTCAAGTTTAATATTCACTTCTTGAAGAATTTCTGGAAGATACTTAGTGGTGCACCAGTTAGCTTAGACTGTCTTCTGTCCTTCCAGCTTGATGGCTTTGACAAGTTCTGTACTTCTGAAGAAAACGGCATACATTACTTTTTTCATGGCACGTTATATTTTCACTATTGTGGTCGTGAGATCATCTTCAAAGACCTATATTTTACTTTCTTGCCGTATTGGAATGTCAAAAAATAGCATGTACGTTTCATTATCAGTTACGATTTTAGAAATTGCAATGGCCACCATCGTTAAGCAACTTAAGTGTTTCTTTGCTGATTCTGACACGCCCTCTTTTTTGGTGCTCATTTAAATTACGAGAACCCAATGGCAAGCTAGTTTTTTCATACACAATTATTCATGAATAATTTTAAGTATGGCGGCGGACCCATCCTTCTGTATCATTTGATAGGTGCAACGATTATTATAGATTAACATTTCGGCACGGCAGACACAATATCCGGGATTACTGCTGACAATGGTCTTTTTGTGTGTTCTTCATCCTGAAGAGAATTGCGACCTTTGTGAAATTCCGTAAACCATCTGCAATAAGCCTTCATTTCCAAATGCTTGCTGTAGACGTTCAACATCTACAGTTTTATTTAATCTCACTTTACAATCAAAGAAAATCATAAAGCGATAATTTTTTCATTTCAACTTCATTCTTACATCTAAGATTTATTCTACGCTAAACTACTTGAAATTGGCCAATGAAAATTTGTCTGCTAGGTTAAAATAGGCCATTTTTCAAATCTAACTATTATTTTTTTTTCTGCCACTTATCATTTGTGAGTATCTAAAAAAATTCAGAGTGACCTCCGTACAACATGTGATGAATTCTCATATTATTTTTCTTCTCCAGGTAACCCTTTAATATGCGACGCTGAACAGATGGACATGTACCTTGAATTGCAGAATCTGGATATCGAAGTGGACGGACGACCAATATGTAATACAGAACCGTACCGCATGTGAGCTGGATAGTTCTGAATGGTGACTGCTGCAGCTGCAATCTAGTGAGCTGCGACATGTTTCAAACAATGGAATATGAAACGGGTATTAATCTATAATTTAATGTGTGCGATCAGTATTGAAGAACTTCAGATCCATATTGCACCAGAGCTTTGATCGTTCATTCATTGGATTTATTGAAATAACGATTGAATATTTAATTTGTTGTCATATTTTGTAGGTACTGAAATGCATTTATTGTAGAGTACAAACTATTCATATCAAGAACATGTGTTTGTATTTAAGTTATTCTTAATGAATTATGCATCATATTGTAATGATCATCTAGAAATATCAGAACTGAAACTATAGTATAGCGCAATGCAATGAAAACTCAAAGAAAGCTAAAATCAATACAAGCTTTGTTACAAGCTTCTAAAACATATAGTACTAACACTTTATTAACGTTATTTATAAAAAATGAAAAGTTAAATTTAATCGTAAGTAGTAATATTGAAATATGAAACATAAATACGTACAGTAAATTAGCTGTTATGAAAAACTTTTAAATATTAAATTCTAAACTAACTGCAGTTAATAGTTGACTATATAATTTGTTTAAATATAAACTTCTAAATTAACTGTAGTGTGTCTAAATATTAAATTCTAAATTAATTGTAATTCCATTAAATAAGCTCCTGAGAAATATATTATTTCAGGATAATTAGTATACTAAATTCTCTTAAAATATATAAATATATAATGATCTTCTTTAATATAAATAAGCCGTTTGTTTTCAAAAAGATTATTCAAAATGTTTTTCTTAAAAAATATAGTGCATTCAAAAATTTCTGAAATCGAACTCGCACAAGTATTCGGACATTTCTAACAAACAGTTTCTATTTAATAAAATCATAAGGAGACATTTGCTCCATTTGCACTGACCTGGATTTAAGTTATTTCTCATGTGCGAATGTTCCGTTTTGTCCCATTCCTTCGTAATAATTGCTTTTAATAAAAATTTCTAATAGTTTTCTTGCTGATGCTTTCATATTTCCACTAAGAGTACTTTTATATTTATAATTATTCACATTATTTTCTATATAAATTAGATTTCCAATCCCAGAAGCAGCGAAGCATTCCCAAATTATTATGCCTTAACCTTGTTGTGTAATAGTAGGCAGTATGTTATTCGGATTCAGTTCTTCATTTTGCTTTCGCCACTGAGCAATTCGTCCATCCCACCCAAATATATTAAATTTTGTCTTGTCTGCAAATATAACAAATCTTTGCAGTCGTATAGATTTTTGCGAATGGAAGGGAATTTTCCTAGTTTCCTTTTTAACGAAGAATTTCCTTCTTGCGTATCATTTATTGTAGCTATTTGCTTTAATAATTGTTGTGATAGTTTCGATGTAAGGTTTTATTGAAAACCGTTCTTCTAAATTAGCTGCAAGTGCCCCATAAGTAACAGATCATAATTTGACGCGCCTTAACATCTAACAGACTCGGCATGAAAAAAAAAAAAACAGATGACCTATTTTATAATACAAGCATTATTTAACATCACTTTTCCATTGTGTAATCAACTTGTTTCTCATCAGCATCAGAACAGGCCCTTAGTTGCAAAGACATATTTTCACGTGGGTTTGCACACACTCATGAGGAATAGCAAGAAATTCCTCAATGACATCCTTCAAGTCTTGTAGTAGGGTGGTTGGTGTTGGGGGAATACATTTTATCCTTTAAATATTCCCACAGGAAATAGTTTGGTGGGGTGAAGTCAGAAGAACAAGCAGGCTATTCAACTGACTCCGACGTCCAATCCAACATCCGGGGAATGTCCGATCCAACCAACTCCATATGTTAGTGCATAATGAGGGCGAGTTTCATCTTGAACTATCCATCCCTCCATCTACAACAACTGATCGAATTGGTCTCTCTGTTAAACAGAGTATAGGGTAAAAAATTGTCCCAATGAGCTCCAGATTATTCTCCCTATTTATGCTATCTTCAGTGAAGAAAATGCCATTGCCACCTAGGTACATAACATCTCCTCAGAACTTTCATCACCGTCATCGTACTCGACTACCACATTTGGATTCGATTTACACCAGTAAACACATTGCGTCTGTTAACACTTAACAGGTGAAACTGGGCTTCATCATTCCACACATATGCCCTCTTCCAAGTGTGGGTTTTAATCCAACATGGTGAGCCACTGTTTAGCAAACTGCAGGCTGTAATCGAGTTTATCTTCATTCAGTCTATTCATGAGTCTCGAATGATAGGGTTTTAACATTCGCTGTAATTCGCTGGCAACTGCCAATGTTGTGGACTGATAGCGTATTCGAATTGTGGGATGAACTAGCACCTGCTGCAGCCGCTCCTTACTCTCAGCCGTGTTTAAAGATCTTGGTCGAAAGGTCATTGCAATGTGACACCTCTGCTACATGCTGAAAGTTAAACCTGTCAGAAAATGCATTACTGCTAGAAGTTACGGCGATTCAAACCATGGTCTGCTACTTATGAGTCACTCTGTACTATTTTTTTTTACATGTTTCATTGGATATATCTCCAATTTCTTCGCCTTAGCTTGGAATATAGTTCAGACTTCAGGGCATTTTGGACATTTCTATGAAGTTGCCATCATTTTAATGCAAAAATAAATAAATAAATAAAATAAAATAAAAAAATAAAAATAGTTGAATGCTTTTCATCGTAGATTTTGTTGTACTATTTTGAATACTTTGACCATTTTAAAATGAGAAATAGTTGAATTTGGGCTGAACGTGTCGTTATTTCGCATCGTCTTGCCATGTACGCTTTAGATATGAAACTGTTAACATATTTTGCTGAAAACGTAATGATTTCCAAACGCAGACGATAATTCTTGTGCAGTAGTTACATTTGAAACAAAAAAATAGAACTAAAAAATTCGCCTGCCAAAAAATTCTCAACAAAATTTTCCAGTGTTTGCCTTATTATGATAGACACTGACTAACACGAGGAACAGTTTGATGATATTTATTTTATAGTAAGCCAGGGTTAAAATAAAGAAAATATGTATTAGGTTGAAGTCTATGATAGTAGTAATATTTAGAATAAGGTGTGTGCAAATAAATTTCAAACAAACAAGCGTACGAAAATAAATGTGAGCCATTGTATGTGTTTCCGTTCAGAAACTGTTTACTCCCTTAAAATCCTCATTTTAACCGCCGTTTAGTCAATCGGAATCAAACTCAGATTTTGTTTTAGCTACTGTTCAAAACGAAACTTTCAGATTAATTAATTTTTTGTACATTTTTTCTGCTGCTTGAATTTAATCTTTAAATTGTAAATCTTACAGATTTTGCATATTTATTATTTTAAATAACACCCGAAGGACGTGTATGTTTTTGTCAATGACTTAAAAAGCAACTTTCGGACTTTTATATGTATATGTTGTATATTTGCGTTTATTACATTGTAAATATTTGTAAAGAACCTTGTGGTCTATGCATCCTTCATAAATTCATTTATTTATTTCAGCTGCCATTAAACTCATTTGATTCTTGTATTAAAATTTGTATTATAAATAATAAAAGAATTTTTACAGGCTGAAGTCATATAGTCTAAGTCATTATTAGTAAAATAAAATGTGTTGACGTTGTGTGCTATAGACCTTAAAAAAAGCTTTTTTAAAACTAAGACTTACATATATATTGTAGAGGCATTAGGTATTTTGGAAAAGCCGGAGAGATGAAAAATGAACAACGCCTTCACCGGGAATCGAACCGCGGACCTCTGGATTACCGGCCCAGCGTGCAGAAGCACTACACCACGAAGGACGCTAGGAAAGTGGGAGAAATACATTATATACTCTCCTTTTTAAAGGGCGACTAGGGTTTTAGGGAACCTAGTCGCCAAATCCTGGGTGCGGAGAATCATCATCCACAACCCTTTTAGTTAGGGCGCCACTTGTGGAGTCATTACGTTAATTGGAAGCAGAAAAGATAAATATGCAACCGCCTTCGCCTGGAATCAAACCACGGACCTAATTATATATAACCTATATAAACTAAATTATATATAACTTTTTTTGCATTAGTTCTGTAATAAACATAAACAGAACTAATGCAGAAATTTTGATTATCATCATGATGCCATCGGTTTTTCTATTAGCATATGCACTGCTATAAAATTTTGATGAGCTCCAGTCGATTAACAAAACGATTAAGATACGATTACCGTAAACATAAGATAACGAATTCGCAATTTTCGTTTTGATGAAATTTTGACTACACGTGTTTGAGGGCACAGAATTCACATGTTAATGGATTAGAAATTTCTGATCTTTAAGCCAAAGTTCATTACATACAAGATAGTTTTAAGAAACTAGGTTTTACTGCTTAGTTTTTCTATCTGTTTTGGAGTAAGAAAATATTAATCATAGTACAAATCAAGGGTTTCAAGGGTTGCCAGAATCTGTAGCTCAGTTTTGCATCTTTCTTTACAGGTCCTATTTTTACACATAGAAAATCGAATTTCCTTTTTTGTTGATAATTTTAATAATAGCGAAAACATATGTGCCACACAACAAATTCAACTAAAATCTTTGTAGAGTCAAGCAAGAGACGTGGAAAAGGCGCAATGCCCTCGCCTTAATTCGAGCGCTAGACCTCTCGAATACGCGTCGTGTATGCTTCCAGTTACACCACGAAGGCATGCGGAAAGGAAAGAGAAAATACCTTATGTACTCCCTTTTTTAAGGTAATTTTTCTATGGTAAAAATCCTGGTAGTGACGAACGTATCATCCACCACTCTTAATTCGAACGCCACTTGTAGAGTCATTAGGAATTTTTGATGCTGGAGAGGTGAAAAGTGTACTGTGCTCTTACCGGGATTGGAACTCCGGACCTCCCGAATAAGCGTCGAGTGTACTTCCAGTTACACCACGAAGGCATGCGGAAAGGAAGGATAAAATACCTTATATATTCCCTTTTTCAAAGGATGACTGAGGATTAAGGGACTCAATCGCCATATCCTGGTGGTGACGAATTAACGTCCACCCCCTTTTACTTCGGGCGCCACTTGTAGAATCATTAGATTTTTTTTAAAGAAGAAGGGGACGCGAAAAATGTGCAATGCCCTCGCTATAACTTGAACCCTGGACCTCTGGAATACGCGTCGAGTATGTTTCCAATTACATCACGAAAGCATATGGAAAGGAGGAGAAAATAACTTATAATTTTATAAACTTTTTATTTCACAGCTATTTATTTCAAATTTATAGAAAAACAGGTCGATCTATAATATAGTAACATTTCGTAGTAAAAACCCAGAAACATATACAAAACAAAGTACTTGTCTCTACAGAGTTTAACAAATATTTAAGAGACAGAATGTACCTTGTCCAAAAATACCATAAAAACAATTCCTTAGAAAATCAAGGATAATTTTTAGAAAAAACTCCATTTACATTCTAGAAATTCTCCATCTTTTCCTTAAAAATAGTTTTCAATCACGAGAATTAGCTCTAATTCTTAATATTAATTTTTTTGTTATCAACAATTTTTTGGAAACTTTTTATGAATAAATTATATTGATGTTGGAATACATCTGTTTCTTTAGACTTAGTTTATAGAATAGTAAATTTAATTTTAATTTTATTTTATTTCTGACAGAATCTTTTAATAAATAAATTGTATTGATGCTGTATTGCAAATATGTGTTAGGCATAATACTTTCCCACACAAATAGGCTTTTATAAACAGCAAATCGTAACTGAAAAAAATTTGAAAGATTTCAGATTTAACGGTCGTCTAAAGGATTTATTGAGGTTTTTGCCTTTTTAGTCACAGTCTACCAGTCTGCTCTGGCATTCACTCCTATTGATCATTTTTAGCCCAAAGGTGCAATTTGCCCAGAAGAGTTATTAATTTCGTTTATGAATTTTGCGTTAGTTCACGATAAACGGCGCTTCATTTTTCAAATTGTTGCCACCAAATATTAGAGTTGTGCGTTATATTTAAAGAAATTAAATAACGAATTATCTGCATGAATGTATGTTTCTCGCACTGGGAAGAACAACGGCACCTAGAGACATCAAATTTGAATAATGTGGTCCTCCACTCGAATATGGGCATCCGGAAGCTCAAATTTGGTATTTATTTTATTATCTATTTCATAAAACTTAACGATTTCAAAGTGAGCAATGGCAACAATCTAAGAAAAAACAAATCATTTTTATCTCCCGCTCGCGAGACTGTGTATCGGAAATTCTAAAGATAAGTCCATTTAAAAATTATTTTTCCATATTTCTGTTGAATTGAATTTTATGGTTTAAGTGTGAAGAACATGACATTTAATAAATAAAGGTAACACACGAAACCTTAAACAAACGCCCCTTTGGGAGTACTATAAAATCTGAAAGCTTTCAGTTTTTTTTTTTTTTTTTTTTTTTTTGTTGTTGTTGTTGTTGTGTTGCTGTTGTTGTGTGTGTGTCTTTTTAGCTTTTATTAATTAAGTATCGTTTCCTTTGCACTTACTCTATATACAGTTCAACAACAAAATTTTTATAATCTGCATTAGCAGCATGTTCTTAGAATCCAGATGCAATGTGAAAATTTGCGTGCACATATATACTTTTTCCAGTCTTTTCGCTGTTCATCACATCAATATTTAGTTTTCTTAGCAAGATGGCTGACGAAAGTTTTTTTTTTTTTTTTTTTTTTTTTTTGTCTTTTTATTATTTTATTATTAACTTTTTATGTGTTAACGTCATTCAATAAATATTACGTTATTCCCAATTACGTCACATAAAATACAATTTAATTGCAAAATCACAAAATATTTAAAACCAGCATAACTTTAGAATTACCGTAGCGTGTTAGAGGTTGCAATATATATTTTTGTATTCGCTATATTATTTCTTTAAAAACTAGCCACTCTACGCCCAACCGCCTAAATTGTTATCATAAAAAAGAAAAACTATGTAATGGCTTCAAAGAAGATCTGTGTTTATTGCTTTTAAATCGCTTAGTTTATTACTCAGTAACCAGCCAAATTAAGTTTTAAAGTATTAGGTTTACTGAATTTCAACGCGCTGACGCGTGAAAGATATAATGGTTTCAATAAAGATATGTGTTTATTGCTTTTAAATCGCATAATCTACTACTCAGTAACCTGCCAAGTTAAATTTTAAAGTATTAGGTTACTGAATTTCATCGCGCTGACGCGTGAAAGATATAATGGTTTCGATAAAGATATGTGTTTATTGCTTTTAAATCGCATAATCTATTACTCAGTAACCTGCCAAATTAAGTTTTAAAGTTACTGAATTTAAGGTTTACTGAATTTCATCGCGCTGACGCGTGAAAGATATAATGGTTTCGATAAAGATATGTGTTTATTGCTTTTAAATCGCATAATCTATTACTCAGTAACCTGCCAAATTAAGTTTTAAAGTATTAGGTTTACTGAATTTCATCGCGCTGACGCGTGAAAGATATAATGGTTTCGATAAAGATATGTGTTTATTGCTTTTAAATCGCATAATCTATTACTCAGTAACCTGCCAAATTAAGTTTTAAAGTATTAGGTTTACTGAATTTCATCGCGCTGACGCGTGAAAGATATAAGGGTTTCGATAAAGATATGTGTGCTTTTAAATCGCATAATCTATTACTCAGTAGTAAAAAAAAAAAAAAAAAAAAAAAAAAAAAAAAAAAAAAAAAACTGCCAAATTAAGTTTTAACGTATTAGGTTTACTGAATTTCATCGCGCTGACGCGTGAAAGATATAAGGGTTTCGATAAAGATATGTGTGCTTTTAAATCGCATAATCTATTACTCAGTAACCTGCCAAATTAAGTTTTAACGTATTAGGTTTACTGAATTTCAACGCGCTGACGCGTGAAAGATAGAAGTATTTTATTTCCGAACACGACAACACATTGTTTCATTACTATTGCTTTTGGTAACAACAAATGTAGATGCCATTGATCATTGACAAGACCATCATGGCATTTTCACCTAAAATCAATAGAATTAATTATTTAAATGTGTAATTAGACTGAATAATATGTTATTTTAGTATATTGGTATTTTTTACTGTCAAATGGTCAATACTTTGAAATATTGATTTTTTTTGTGCATTATTACTGCTCTTTCATGAAACCACCAAATTTAAATTACTGCACTGTCCTTCGTCTGAGACGTCTGACTATTCCATTAATCATTATTTACACAATAATTACATTAACATCAAGTGTGTCAAGATATAAGTTTATTTCAATAGTTCCAATCAATATATAATTTTATTACAATTATTAATTAATGACTTTCTGCGCGTACAATAACCGTACATTGTAAGTGTTTTACAATGCCACTAAGATTAATTAAGTTAATTTATGTACTTAATTGCTTTTTTTGCAAAATAAATTTGCATTCTTCTTAATTTAGAGTTTTAAGTTCTGAAATCATTTCATTAATATTAATAATAGCTGACATTATATGTATGTTTCATCTTGCTGTCATTACCCGTCATTGATTTAATGAGCTATGTTCTCCTTTTTTTAACCACAGCCTGCATTTATTAGTTTCAGTTTCCTCTATTTGAAA